AAAGCTTTACCTTGGAGGTCAACTCATCTAGAGCAGAAATTATCGGTCTCCAGTTCTCTGGTACGGGCATCAAGAAAACTACAAATACTTCTAAAGCAACTTCTAATCACGAAATTCAAATGGAAACTCTGCATTGCACGAGACAAATAAAAAACCAAAACAAACCATTTTGATTCTATAAACTTGCCAATATGATAACAAGAAGCTAAAATCAAACAGTCCAGAAGCAGAAAATCATTGAGTTGAGAAGATGTACCGTTTTCTTCACCAGTTTCAAAATCATTTCTCACTCCAGGATGCTCTTCTTCTTCTCCTTGGCCTTGGCTCGTTGGTTATCAGGAGCCAATCGTCTTTGCAATTGCTCCACAATTGGAATCACATTCATCCAGTGGATCTCTAAGTAACACCTAATAAAAAAAACAAATTAAACCTAAAAACTCACTTCAATTCAAACAAAATGATAAAAAATTGAGAGCCTGTAATGATTAACAGCACCTCCTCTGAGTAATAATCGCTTTAATGTGCTACAAAAAGAAAGAAACAAAATCAGCCGGCTGAAACAATTCAAACAGAGAACAAAAACGCACCGTTTGAACTGAAATCCAATCACCTCCAAATTGAGAACAATCACTTTATCTCTTCCGAATGGTCGAAGGATAGGATAACTAGATCAAGAATCCGAAGATCTCTAGCGTGAATCTGAACTCGTCGCATAAGTACTTGTCTACATCAAGGATAGTGCTCGTCTGTCTTTCTGGTCAAGCAAAATCCAGCTCCTGGAAACGGCCGTCTTCTTCTTCAACGCGGCTTGATCCACGGGGGCCATAATTCAAATCAAATTGCATTCACATCCGCGGTCAGTAAAGTCGTGACATTAGCACTGAGTGGTGGAGTAAAGATGGTGAGTGTGAGAAAGTGAAAGAAATTGAAGTGTGTGATTGATGTGAAAGAATGGAGTTCAAAACGAAGAGACGTGAGATAGGAATCTGGTGGTGGGGGAAGTGGAAGGGGAGATATTTGCATGGTTAATGGCAGTTAGCGGAGTGTTACAGAGTATGTTCAAATGGAGGGGAATGGGTTTTGAACAGATAAGTCTGCGTTAACTTTACTCACCATGTTTGGCGCGTGCTTTCAAATTTTTTTTTTTTTTCTTTTTTCTAATCACTCGATATTATTTATGATGATTAGTTGATTTGGTTAGGCTTGGGATTCTTAATTTCTTATAGGTTCATCCATGGAAGGTAAACTTTAAAGAATAATCAATTTTACAAATAATTTATTAAGGTGTTTGTTTTTCTTAAATTTTAAGTTACTTTTGTTTTTTGGATATATATTAACAGTGTAAAATCACAAAAATAGATATATTTGAAATCATTTTTCTATTATTAAAATAAATTTAATTCAAGTTTTTAAATAAAAAATTTTAAATTAAAAACTGACCAAGGAGTCGCTGAACAATCCACTACTGGCGGTGTCCATCAATCCGGAACTTTTCGACGACAAGTGGTTGACACCGTCAACACTATTATTTCGTCTTTGGCAATCTACAGATAGTGCCAACGATGTTGTCAAAATACTATGGCTTTTGTCACAGTGAGTTGACAAAGTTTGGCAAAAACTGTGTGAGTTGCTGTCAAAACATCACATTCTTTGATCAAACTACCAACATCATTGGATAGATCTCCAGTCGACAGTTCCAATGGTGCTGGTAGTGACCTCTACTTCGTCGTCGTCGATAGTTTCCGATCACTGTCAATGTAGTTGGCTGGTGACTTTTTACATTTTTTTTCAATTATTCTATTAATTAAAAGTCATTAAAATATTTAGAATGCGGTATATCTTAGGGCATTTTGGTAATTACTATTCTAAAAATGGTTTTAGAATCTAAAAGCTAAACTACCAACTTTTGAAATCCTTCAATAAATTAGATTATGGAGAAGTACATTATCTTATAATCACCTAGACATTGAAATGTTTGACAATTTATATGAATTTCAATCAATCCAAACAAAAGGAAATATACATAAATTACTAGATTTAACTTAATTTTAACATGTTATACCAATTTTGTTTGAAGATAAAATAAATAATATGATAATCATCGTATTAAGGTGCGCACAAGGTGACGTGTCTACGAGGTCGCATTTTGCGCGGATCAGTATTAATGTTACAAATAATGTAGGTACAAGCGCATGCTATACTGAGTAGGTGTAGTGTAGTTAGTAATAGTAGTAAATTTTTTTTCTTTTTTATTTTTTTTTCCCAAATTTTATCAAAAATTAATTTGAAACGGAATTTTCCATTGATAAAATTAGATTTAAAAATAAAAGGTTGTACCTTTTTCTAATATGACATGTACATTTTTCAAGAAATGGGATGATCAGTGACTTGGTACTTTGTTTTGGTATTAAACAAATGAAATAATACATACAAAGAGTTAATACTCGTAACCCTCTTAAGGTATCTTTAACATAGATTAAAGGTATATCTAGTAGCCTAGAAATTTCTGTGATTACTGATTTTGTTACATTTTTAAACAAACATCTCTACTTTCATTTATGACATAAGTAAATTCTATTAATAATTGAATTCATGACATTAATCCCTCCTGAGGTGTAATATAATAAAAAATACCTTCAAGATTTTTTAAATAACAGAAATCCCTTTATCATTAATAAATTGTTAAAAATTACGACAAAATGATTTTTGTTATTTTCAAAACCACAAAAGAATTTTTGTTAATATATCATACTTTAAGGGTATTAATATCATTAATCTTAATAATCATTGGTGTAGGTATTCAAGACTATTAGATATATCTAATAGGGTTACATAAGGATACCTTACACTATTAACCCTATAGACACAACAATTATGTACGTTTTATTTGATAGGGTACAAAAACGGAAATGAGAAGCAGAAAAGTAAAGGGGAAGAATGTAAAAATAAAAGTATTTTCTTCTATTTGAAAAATAAAAATGTTATCCTTACAAAGACTCATACAAAGAGGGCTACAAAGTGACATCATCCAGAAGAAAAAAACAAAGAAAAAACAGAAAAAGAGAAAGAGAGAGAGAGAGAGAAATCATGAAAATAAAAAATGAAGATTATCTTTGTATGTTCTCTTTGTATGTGTCTTTGTAAAACTAGCATTGTTCTTTTAAGAAAGGCAAAAGGTATGAGACCAAAGTGAAGGAGATTATTAGACCGTACATTTGATACTTCCCCCCTCTTCCAAGTTCCATCTCAATTTGAGAAACAGTAAGGTTTCACCTTTTCTTACTCAATTACAAACCTTCTCAACAAAACAAATGTTCCCTTCCACTTTAACATGGAAAGAAAGACTTTATTTAACCTGAGGTTTCGATCAACTATGCTTAGGTCTTGTATTTTAAAATACCAAAATTTATCCCCTTAAATTTAACAAATGTTTAGGGATGATTTTTTTGTTTTAAAATCAGAAGACCCCTCATTTTGATATTGACCGATAAATACTTTATCCACTTTGAGGTTTTGGTTAACTTTTCTAGGTCTTGCGTTTTAAAATGCTAAGATTTATCCCTTCGAATTTAACAAATGTTTACATAATATGTTAATTGGGATAGTTTTTCTGATTAAATCAAAATACTCTTTATTTTGATATTGTTCAAATATTACTGAATAATGATATATATATTGTTACTTTAATTCAAGGAGGTAAATCCCAAGATTTTAAAGTGCAGTACTCAAACGGTAAACCCAAAACCCAGAGGGTAAACAATTAACTCACACAATGGCTCAATAACCATTAGTGGCTTATACTTGTTTTTACTCTGGATTTTATGTTAATTGATAGTAATCCTAAGATGTGATATGGCTGCCTCAAAGGCTTAAACACGTTATAAGCTAAGAATATGAGAAAGTCAAAAAGTTATGCCCAACTCTTTCTTTTGCCAGGTGGCTAGTTGAAATTTAGGCACCACATATGATTTTTAATGTTCTATTTTCAAAGGCTTACACATCAACTATTCTTCCGCAACTGAATTCCAAATTGCCCTACCAAACTGTAATTTTTTTTCTTTTTCTTTTATGGTTATTTATAATAATAGAAATAAGTGCACTAAGAAGAGTAGACCACATTTGTTAAAAGGTGTGTTTTTGTTGTTAAACACAAACATCATTTTTGATATGCTAATGTCAAAATAGAAAAATTAGACTATGTTTGTTAATGCATCCAATTTTCTATTATTCTTTATTGTCCTTCAAAAAGATATATTTGTTCGATAATGTTTAATTGTTTTTGCTTTTATTCTCATGAAACAAATAAAACTCATCAATTTTTTTTGTTAAAAAAGAAAACAAATAATGTCTTCTTTTCTTTATAAATATTGTTACTCTCTCAAATAAAACTTACATAAACTGATAAAAGTTAAAAGTTAAGCTTCTAAGTGCTTTCATTTTTTTTTTTTTTTTTTTTTTTGGAAAATGGAATTAAGGTTAATCTTATATACCATTTTAAATTACTTTTGGGTAACTGGAATGTTCGAGCCAGCTTACGTACACCTCAACTAATCCCTAAGGTTCATTGAATACCCTATAAACCTAATGAACCAAGTAAGACACAATTATACATTGAGGTAGGTAACCCCAAGGTTTAAATCCAAAAAATAAAGAAAGTGAGTACACCTCTTTGACCACCAAGCAAACCCCTTGAAGGTATCCGAACCAACTTACAAACATATCAAATACATTTTCATTTTCGATATATCAATTTTATTTTTAATAATTTTAGAAAACACAAACGTATTCATTAAAAAATATACCCTAAAATACGCCTTTTAATTAGATCCCTTAAACAAATAAAGAAAGAAAGAGAGATAACTAGATAAGTTACTAATGTTATCTAATTCCAAGCAATTTCGACAAGCCCCACATGCGCAATCATTTGGATCAAAATGAAATAGCGATGCGGCAAGGTGAGGAACAGGAACATCAAGATTTCTGAAACAAAAATAGGAAATATATAATAGCAATTTATGGGCGCGTGCTGGAAGCTAAGTATTGACAAAAACAAAATTAAAAGCGGTCCCAGGAGTCCACCAATAGATGAACAATCTAATCTTTACCATCAAATTGCTGAACAAAACGTAAATCATAATCCAAACCTTACTATTACATACACAACAATTAATTATGCGTCTTGAATTTAGTTGTACCTAAGGGCTGGGACAAGTTACCTAATATTATAGCCACAAGAATTCCAACATAATGATACCCACCCACTCTTGTTCAAATCTCAATCACTACTATTACTTTCAGGACCCATCACCCAATGATTATAAATGCAATGCACCATAAATTCAATTTACATGAAGTTGTATAAATTTCTTCCCAAGAGCGACTAAATATGCTTTGCATACCTCCTTCCAAACTGATTTTTATATGTATCAAGACCCGACAAGACCTTTCTGCCGAGCATAGAAGATTATTATTGAGAAAAGGGATGCACAAACTATACCGGTGACGATGACCACCTAGAGTTCAAAAATTTCAGAGAAGATGAGAATTTATTCAAGTTATAAGTTGTTTTTGTGAAGACCTAGGCGAATTGCCTTGGTTTAGATTTTGAGGCCGCGTTTTGGTTTGATAATCGAGATGTACTATACTTACCCATTTAAATACAAATCCATGTTCAGTCTTCCACGTATAGGGGATGTTCATGCCAAATATTGCAGCCACCAAAGAATATACCGACAAGCAAACAGTCCCAGAACTTAGAAAGAGCTCTAACTGGCACATATAATAAAAATCCATCACTATGACACAAATAAAACTGCACTGCCAGACAAATAATTTAAGGATTTTCTAGCTAGCTTTAAAGTAAAGAATAAAATAAGCACTAGAACAATGAGCAGAGAAAAGGATTTGATCAGATTCAAAAGACATCACCTGAATAAGCTGATTTCGATGGTTATCAAGCTGCAACATGAAATAAATCAACTATTAAAACATTTTTTTCTCTCCAAATACCATAAGGATGTTAACAAGCAACGATTGAACTGATAGAGTAGAGCCCTCAATTTAACAAAACATTTTAAGAAATATTATTACCTCATTTCATCAAAACTTAGAATTAAATTGTCGGACTCACCTGAATGTTTATGTAATCCTCAGTGTCATCTATGTATTCACGCAGCTGGTAAGAAAAGAATAATTAGCATAAGCATCAGCAATAAAATACAAGAATCATTGTCCAAAAGTCCTCCTTGGATGATTCCAGATACTATGCATAATTTCCTCCTTCTTCACTCATTTGCTAATCCAAAGAGAAGTTCACGGTGTGATGCTTACCGTGGCCAATTTATTCAGTGTGCCATCAATTTGCATAAAGTAAGCCTGCAAAAATAATCCAGTACCCGACTCAAACTTGTGTTGGTTAAATAAGTCCTGTGACATTTCACTGTCAGTCAAAGTTTATAACCTCAAGCAGCATTTCAAGTTCATCCACATCATTCTCCTCTTGAGTTGTTGCTGCACTTGTTCTAGATATTTTTGAACCTATAGTTGGAGAGTTAAGAAACCAAGTAGGAGCACCAGAGCCACTGGCAGGTGAAGATGGCACAGCCAATTTCCTTGACAAGTAAAGGTCTGCCATATCATCATCATCATCTAGAAGTTGTTCAAGTTCATCCCTGACCTGGGAACACAATTTTTAGAAAGATTTAAGTCCAAATGAAAGGGTAGCATTTACTATTTGTAGCTTTACTGGCTCTAACCTTAGATTTTAACGATATTTTCAACCATATGCAAAACAGAAACATTAAAAACAGAAGATAAATTCGGAAACCAGAAAAAAGAATGTGATGGAGCGCGGCACTCTCTAGTGTTTGATCTATCAGTTCAAAGTCTACATTACCTATTATGCAGCAAAGTGGAATGCAATGGTCCAATTTATGGGCTTGGTTGGGTTGACTGATTGGACTGATTTGTAACCGATTGAAGTAAATATTGGAACCCATCCTCTGTTCCACTCCCATTAGCTCCCTTCATTGTTTTTCTAGTCAGTTTGTGTAACTTGTTTTCAGCTTATTTCTCTTTCAATTACCCAGTGTAGAATTGAACCTAAGTTAATAGATCCATTTAAGCCACCTTTCAAATGACGTAATAGTTAAATGTGTAATAAATTCTCAGCAAAAATCCCATCAAGGTAGAGAGAGAGGTTCAAAACAGAATAACTTTTAAGCAAGCTGACATGGATTGCCAAATCCTTACTGAAGGAAAAGAAAAAATCTACTCTGTCGTGTGTAGAGAAATATGATTTTAGACAAAATCATGAAATTGTTTCTGATAAGGAATGACAAAACCATAAGAATGTTCTCGATAGGAAAAGACAAAATCATGAGAATGTTTTTGATAGGGAATGACAAAATCATGAGAATGTTTATGATAGGGAAAGACAAAATCATGAGAATGATATGAGCTATGATCTATGATCTAATCCCTAAAGAAAGCATAGTATATTCACTGTTCACTGATGACTGATCTAAAATACAGACGTACCAAAAGCAAAGTTTATTCTTTTTACATGTATTCACTATTTAAGGAAATTGGCATTTCCATGTTAATTGTTAGACATCATAANTTTGAGTTATGAGAAGTGTTCTACTTGCATGATGATGAGTTGAGTTTGATTGAGATTGGAAGAGGTTGGAGTAGATTTTTGGGAGTGTGTTTCCTTGACAGGGAATGAGATCATGCAAGAGAATTTCCTCCCATTTTGGGATGGCCTAAGAGAGAAATAGAGTTCTCAATAAAGTAGAGTTTTTGTATGCACATGAGTTGTTTGATGAAATGCCTAAGAGAAGCATGAGTATGAGTAGAGAACCATAATTCTTGCAACATTGCATGTTGGCATTTCTTGAGTGCATTAATGAGCATGAGCCATCCATATGCATTGGTTATGCATTGAGAAATAGCTTGAGCAAGAATAGAGATCTTTGTGAATAAACTACTCTAAGAGTTAAGCTATACTATGAGTAAGAGATGAGTATTAGCTTGAGCAAGAGTAGAGATCTTTGTGAATAAACTACTCTAAGAGTAAAAGAAGAGAATAAAGTAGGTTGTACGATGGGGAACCCGTGAGTGATGAGTAAAGTCACGAGAGTGGGTGCTTTTTTATCCCCAGCCGTGCCTTCAGTCAAATGAGGCCGTGACCATCACAAAGAGTGGAACATGATATTCCAGCCATGCCTCCGGTAAGATGGGGCCGTGACATTCACAAAGAGAGAGAATACACTCACGTGGTCAAGGGTTTCAAATCCATGCATGACCAAATCCGATCGGTAGAGAAATGAGTAGAAGTCACGTAGAGTGGTAACGCCCAGCCGTGCCTCCGGTCAGATGAGGCCGTGACATTCTAATGAGTAAGAATGAGAAACAAAGGAATAGAAAGAACAGAAAGAGAAAAACAGTAAATCACGAAGAGCGGGTTGAGTTCCCGATCGTGCCTTCGGTAAGATGAGGCTGTGACATACACCAGAGGGTGTATAACAAAGAATATGAGAAATAGAAACAGAAAGAAAATCAGTAGAAGTCACGTAGAGTGGGAGAAGTCCCGGTCGTGCCTCCGGTAAGATTAGGCCGTGACATTCAAAAAGCGAGTTAGTAGAAATGAATTATGAGAAATGAGAAAGAGATAATAGAGAGAATTAAAGAATGAGAAAGCCTGAGAAGGAGTATGATGAGAATAAGAGAGAACCATGATTTTCCTTCAAGGTGAGTATGATGAGAATAAGAGAGAACCATGATTTTCCTTTATGGTGAGTAAGAATAAGAGAAGGAGAAAAGAGAATAAGAACAGAGAGAAAGAAAGAATAAAAAGAGCAGAACAGAGTTAAAGGAGAATAAAAGTATTTTAGAGAGAGAGAGAGAAACAGTGAGAATTAGAAATAGAAGAACGGTAAATTAAGGAAAGAACCAATGAGTGAGTTGCGGGGACAGGTAGTAAAGGATTTACTTACCGAGCATTGTTGTGCTCACCCCGTTGTTCTTCTCTGTTTTGCAGGAAATAGAAGCAGCGATCGGATGGACGTCGAGGAGTGGAGAGTATTTGCACCACTGTCCACCAGCTATGATGTTTTGTATTAAGTATAAAGTTTTTAATACATTGTATTTTGTATTTTTTATGAGTAAAGAAAAAATTTGAGCCCACTATCTTTCATACGCTATGTATATCTATAATTTACATAATATATATTATAAAAATAGTCATAGAGAGCAGGTGTTACTCTCTCTCTCTCTCTCTCTCTCTCTCTCTCTCTCTATCTATCTATCTATCTATCTATCTATCTATCTATCTATCTATCTATATATATATATATTATATATTCATATATAATATATATATACACCCATATGGGTTAATTACCACATAACACATTTTATAAGCTCTAAAATTACTCAATTTGGACACATTGGATTGACAAGTCAATCAAATTGTTTTATCTTGAAACGTTGGATTGGTATTTATTACTCTATCTATAATTATTAATTAATTAAAAAAATAGAATCAGTATTAATAATTAATAATAATAATAATAATAATACAAGTGCATTGCATTAGCATTCTAAAAGTCTAACCATAATGACACATTGGATTTATGATTACCATGTGATTGAATTTTATTGGTGATAATATAGACAATATTAATTGCTGCATTGGTATTCCAAAGTCTAAATAAATAGACATAAAGATTAGATTATATAGATGCATTATATTGGTAGTAAAAGCATACCTGTTTATTAATAATTATATAAGTGCATTGTATTGACATTGCAAACATTTCTTCGTATTCAATTCATATTTAATTGTGTTGACATTCGAAAGATCTAAATAAGGGGTTATAAAAGGGGTGTATGTTTAGTTGTGTATTATCGTAATATGTTAGTTGATGTCAACAATACGTATGGTCTTTTGTTAATTGTTTATAGGTCATGTTAGTTTGTGTCAATAATACGTATGTTCTTTATGGTTTTGTTAATCAATGATTTTTTTTTTTTTTTTATGTTTTTGTTGTTGTTTACAGGTCAAAGATTCATGAATTAGCATGGAATAAAGGAAGGATGTCCAATTGACATTGTCAAATGAGTTGTTATTTTGATTCGTTCTTCTAAGCTATAAGTATATCTTCTAACTATTTCAATACGAAATAGTAAGTATATCTCCAAACTATTTTAACGGTTATTATTTGGTTAAATGATTGTTTTTGTTCAGTCAATCTATTTGAATGATTAATTGTGCTAGTCCTGCTGAACGGTAAGTGTATTCCCTAACAATTTTAATATAAAGGTTAATTAACTTTTATTGATTTCGTTTTCAGGTAACAGTTGTTATAAGAATAAATAATTGTTCCTTAACAATCTTAACATAAAGATCGATTAAATTTTGTTATGTTTGTTTTCAAGGAAATGTTCATGTACTTTACAAAGATCAAATCGAGGATGATCCTATTGTCAACCGAACTGTGAGTATGTGTATTATCTATATTAGTAAAAATAGTTCATTTGTGTTGAATATGTTTACTGTAAAAACATTCGTGTATTTTATTTTGTTATATGAATGATTAATTGTTTATGTCCTGTTGATATGCGAGTATATATATTAAATGAATTAATTTTTGTTGATTCTGTTTTCCAATTAATAGGTGTTGTTTGAAATATTTTTTATCAGTCCTAATATGATAATCCCTTAAATTTGGGTCAAATAAACCATTCATTTTATCATCATACACATTTTAGTTTTCATTGAACAATCAGTAGTAAATTGACCATAACTTGCTCAATAAAAATCCAATTGATGGGAAGATTGAATCTTTAGAAACTAGACAGACAGTGCTTTAATTTGATATACAATACGCTTAATTTAAATAATTGTAGCCCCACTATTGAACCATTCCTTTCATCATCACACACATTTCGACTTCCACTGAATAGTCTGTGGTAAATTAACCATAACTTGCTCAATAAAAATCTAATTGATGAGAGGTTTGCATCTTTGGAACCTAGATAGACAGAACTTTAAATTGATATATTATATGCTTAATTTGGATAACTGTAGCCCCACTATTGAACCATTCTTTTTATCATCACACACATTTTTGTTTGCCTTGTTTCTCGATTTCTACTGAACAGTCAGTAGTAAATCAGTCATATTTTGCTAAATAAAAATCCAATTGATGAGCGGTTTGAATATTTGAAAACTAGACTTATAGGGATTTAATTTGATATATTATACACTCAATTTAGATAATTGTAGCCCTACTATGGAACCATTTTTTTATCATCACACACATTTCAGTTTCCACTAAACAATCAGTAGTAAATTGACCATAACTTGCTCAATAAAACTCCAATTGATGAGAGATTTGCATCTTTAGAAACTAGACATATAGGGATTTAATTTAGTATATTATACACTTAATTTGGACAACTGTAGCCCCACTACCGGACCATTCCTTTTATCATCACATAGATTTTAGTTTCTCCTATTTCTCGATTTCCACTGAACAATCAGTAGTAAATTAGTCATACCTTGCTCAATAAAAATCAAATTGATAAGCAGTTTGAATCTTTGAAAACTAGACATGTAGAGATCTAATTTAATATATTATATGCATAATTTGGATAATTGTAGCCCCACTGCCGAACCATTCCTTTCATCATCACACACATTTCGGTTTCCACTGAACAATCAGTAGTAAATTGACCACAACTTGCTCAATAAAACTCCAATTATAAGAGGTTTGCATTTTTAGAAACTAGACATACAAGCTTTAATTTGGTATATTATATGCTTAATTTGGAAAACTGTAGCCCCACTGCCAAACCATTCCTTTTATAATTACACACATTTCAGTTTCCCCTGTTTTCCTATTTCCACTGAACAATCAATAGTAAATTGGTCATAACTTATTCAATAAAAATTTAATTGATGAGCGGTTTGAATCTTTGGAAACTAGAAAGATTGAGCTTTAATACGATATATTATACGA